TTCGAGGTCAGAATCCTGACCATATCATGTCGAGCTTTGACTTAATATCTATAAACATAAATAGCTTATTCCTCCATATCATAGGCTTAATTTAATGGATCAGCTGGCCAGTGAGCCAGATTCGGACAGGAGACCAGAGTTGGATCAGCCACTCGAAAGGGAGGGGAGCAAGGAAAACAGCAGATGTGATGAAACTACGGTAAATTCGCCAAAGGGCACACTTATGGAATATAAACATGTCAGAAATTGTGATAGAACGAGGGCGAGACATGGGGGTAGGAAATGGAAGCAGGGGCCAGGAGAGAAAGAAGATCGGAAGCACAAACCTTTCGGCATTAAGTAAGTCTGACTTCAATTTTCTATTTGACGAGTCGTAGTTTTGTGCTGAGAATGGCAAGACTCACTGATGATGCCGACTACGATGCCGGCGAAATGTTTGGGAGTGTGCCGAGTCCACGGTCCGATTGGAAATTATCCTGCATACTATGGACTCCGGACGAGGTGCGTTCCTCTAGGCCTTCAGGCCAATATGATCAATTTGCGAAAACAAGGTCAGATGACTATAATTCATTTTAAGTTCACTAGAAGGAATGAGATCGCCCAGATTTTCTTTGCTTTCTATCAGTATCTTTGAAATAACCATATAGCATATTCTTACTCTTGCTCATTTATTTTTACCCAGCAATATTTTTTTTGTTTTAGGACTGGCCAACTTTCGAAAAATTAACCTTTGACCCTAATTCTTTCCTTATCTGCATTAATTGCAAAAAACGACTGCCTATCTTTTCCAAGCTTAGTAACATGCACAAACGTGATTCATTGCTATGCAATTGTCCGATCGTCTTGCAGCAGGCTATTTTGAAAGTTTATTTAAAGATGAATAGATTCACTATGCATGACTTGGTTGATGGCTTCACTAATGGCATAGAGTGCCTTACATTACCGACATTAGACGTTTTAAACAAGACTAAGGCTTCTGACTTTGCCACGAACACTGACCTAGCTTTTGTTACCACCTTGGACAACTGGTTGTCTCAAACGCGGCGCATCATGGACGCTTCATTCAGCGAACCAGAGGAAGAAACAAACCAAAAAAGCATTACAGATATTCAGAACATACACAGTTATCATGGTCTATTGGGGCGACCTAACGTCATTTGGAATTCTCTTGAGGAATTACTCAAGCAACTTTTGACCCTGCATGCCGGAATTTGGAGTACAGGACTCTGTCTTGATGCGCTGGCCAAAGAGGCTTAGTACTATTTTGCTATTTAATATCTCTTATCGCTTTTGTTTTCTCCCTAATTGCTTACAGATTTAACCTTATATTTTGCTTCTTCTCAATTATAATATTTTTTGATCGATTTTTATTTTGTTCTGAATTATTTTCTAAATTTTTGAACATCATATCACTCTAGGATATATGATTTAGAAGAAACCTTTTCCTTGATTCGTTTCTATAAGTGGTTTTCTAGGAATCTCCTGAGAGCATTGTTTCGTTACATGTAAAATTGTTTAGGTCGATCTTATCAGGGGAATACAATGAGGCACAAATGTCTCATTCGTTTGTCTAACCGAAATAGAATAAGGGAATTTATATTTTAAATAAGTAAATGATTCTGTGCAAGCCAGTGAGTTCGACTGTCTGAAAATGGCGCTAAGATTTTTGTAGCCTCAGACAAATCATGAAAAAAAGCATATTGTTTGATCCTAGGACCATACTTAGCACTAAAGTTTGAATAGGAATACTCTATCGAAGAGCATGGAATTGAAATATACTAACAACCAGAACCTGAGAGGTTCCCCAAGAGTGGTTTCGTACTTTTATTTTAGGCTTTATTAAGAGATGAAGTTGAAAAGTAATCGCCAATAACTTTCCGCGGTCGGGCCACGTATCGACTGCAACAGCTTGATCATCTCGCATTCTTGCCCGGCTTATTTATGGTGTGGGATTGCCTTTAGCTATTAGCTCCCCTGGTCATTTGTCTTGCTTTGTAGATAGATAGTGGCTTAACTGTGAATTTAAGTACCCACAATAAAGCCTACTCTATTTTCACGATACATTAAGGCTGGAGAAAGGCTGATACTTACTAGAAGTCCTATACAATAGAGGATACAACTTTTGAACAGATGGATGGAAGTGTTTTACATCGGTTAATGCGTTGATGAGCGATATGAAAGAGACAAATTTTGATTAAGATTGCTTTGCAGGTGTCGGTGAGACCCGTGATTTACATTTGCCTACTTAAATTTCCTGACGATTGGCTATTCAATTTCATAATCAGCTTTGCGAATAGATCTATTCAGGATGAAGAGAAGCTGGGTTTCGACAAATCCCTTAGTAGATTGATACTGGCATATCTTTCATTTCGTTTGAGAAGGCGGATGTTAGTGATTCTTGGATTGGTCTCTTGAATTGTGCGAAGAAGACCTCGGCTCACCGTTCTACGACCCCGATAACTTCGTGTGGAACTTTCGTCCGTCATGTGATGGACATCGTCAAAGCCAGAAATCGTTATTCACGAACAATCACCACACCACCTAAACCAAGAAAGGTGGCCAGCAGACATCTGCTTTCTGGCGTTGTGCCCATATGAATCGTTTGGGAGTGTGCTAAGTCAATGGTCCGATGCTGGAAATTATTAATACTATGGTAGAGGACACATGATTGTGTACGTCCCACAAACTCTCTCTCATGCTCTTACCTAGTTGCGAAAGTGAGGTTGTACCAACGCAACTAATAAGCTTTCCCGGACTGCAAGCAAAAAACGAAACTACCTCCTTAGAATTGCCCTATCAAAGCGAAGAACATTAAGCATATTTTCTCCTGGCGTCCTCACATCCTGTATTCGAAGCCTCCATGAAAAAATTCTCTTCCACTACAAGTACTTTACCCTCTACTAGGTCTCTAAAATAGCATATCGTTCAGGCTCTTCTTCAGTAAGATAGAAAAAAGTAATATTTATAAATGTGTTTCTGTTGGTAAGTCAAAGCACTCGTTGAAGTGTCATAGAGGAGCTTCCAGGATGTATTCTTCCAAACAATCTATGAAGGCAATGACCAATAGGAATAGGTATCACAGTGTTAGGCCAAGCACTTTTTTTCAAAGCTCACTTGGGAGCGAGAAGTAGATAACACCTCTACCCAAAATACTTTGCCAATCAAAACAAATAAATAATTCTGAGCTGTCTGGTAATGTAATTAGAATTCCGGGAATATTCATAAAGAATATTCATCATGGCCTATGAAAGGTCATACATCCTTTTTGAATCCTTGCAGAGTCAGTTTATGCATCCATGACTAATGGATTTCGTATAACTTATGGTAAAGTAGGAAATATAAATATTAAAAGATCAAAAATTTTACCTAATTAAAACTCCATAAAATTCAATGGAGAAATGTGGTCAGTTGTGATCCTACTTACTTCTTATACGTCACTTCGATCTTAGTGATACATTCCATGATTTGGTTGGTTGTTTTATACTTGTCCTACATGCATGTAAGCAGGCCGAAGTGATGCAGGAAGGGGAGCGGATGTGATTACAACTTTTGTCTATATAAATAAACTAGCGTATGTTCCTGTAATCCTGGGTCTTGATAGAGCGTCTTGAACGCGTATTCGTGTGAGTATTCAGCAACCACGAATTGCTCGGCAATTTTGCGTCCAAAAACAGACTCCAGCTTAGTCTAATCTTCTCAACTAGAGAGAGAGCAGCCAGAGATAGTTCTTACTTAGTCTCTTACATTCGTTTTTCTTATTTAAGATGTTCTTTCTTGTGTTAATTTCAATCGAATCCCTGATCTTACGCTTAGCTGTGAAGTCCCATATCCGACAAAACATTGGGATTTAGACTACTTTATCTAGTGTTTTATAGTGACCATATGTTCAGCCACGTCCGATTTATGAATCCCAAAACCTTTAAAGTCGGCTCTATGTTCTGATTGCCTCGTATGTTTGGGTCAACAAGCCTCCCACACATAAACACTTCCACATGAGCACACAATCTTTTAACAACCCGATCTGCAGAGGTTGTTGGAAGATTCTATAAGAAAAAGTATGGTCGAAGAAGGAGTTATTGTTTCTTTATACCCTTCTAGTCCTCAATAATTAGCCTATCTTTCTTGAAGGCTAGCAGGATGGTAGCATTAGGAACCTGGACGAAGAGTTATCTAATTTCTTGTTTTGTAAAATAAATAATAGTTTTCTTTCACCTTCTCTCTAAATTTGGACATTATTAACAATTAATCCAACAAGATAATTGTTCTCAACTAAAATTTTTCTTAGCGCTTCTAATTTCTCTTCTTGATACTTTACGTCCGTTAGGCGTAAACTCCTTATTATCATTGATGTCATTATTCCTACATTAACACCACAAGTATGGCTCGAAAAAAAATTAAGAAAGAAGCCAGCATTTGTTGGTTTTCTATATACATATTTTCCCAGTTTTTTCCCTACTTTACTAACTAGGATATATAAATGAGAAATATGAGATGTATTCACCAAATTTCGTTTAAGATGATGAAGGACTGGTAGTAGAACTTTCCTTCAATCATATGAGTAGAGCTGACGTTTCCATTGAATCTCACATAGTTTTGCTTTCCAAAAAATTGTTCTTATCCAGGTTGGACTGCAGTTTCGACCTTGCATCGGTCTTATTAACACCTCCAGCGGGGGTCGAACAGTGACGGTGCAGAATGGGAGCTTGACACATTAACAACTCGGCCACATTGCCACGAGAGCCCTTGGGTCACATGGAAATGTCAATTTCAAGGAAGTCCAGGCCTTTTGCCATATTTTATTCTTTGGTGGGATTGCCGATGAAGCAAACGTATATTTGCTATAACAATCGACTGCGTGATTTATTTTTCTTATTTAAGTAGAGTTTATAGACTACCTGTAAATCAGTAATATGAGATGTATTCACCCAATTTCGTTTAAGATGATGAAGGACTGGTAGTAGAATTTTCCCACGATAATATGATTAGAGCTGACGCTTTCATTGAATTTAACATAGCCTTGCTTTCCAAATATTTGTTATCATCTTGGATGGACTACAAAAATACGTTTGGTCTATCGACAATCTCACCAAAGAATGTGATATGGGAAAAGGCCTGGCCTTCCTTGAAATTCATATCTGCCCTGTGACCCAAGGGCACTCGTAGGAATGTGGCCGAGGGGTTAACGTGTCAGGCTCACATTCTGAACTGTCCTGGTTCGACCCCCGCTGGGGTATATTGATAAGACCTATGCGCGTTCGTAACTGCAGTCCACCTGGAGGAGAGCAACTTTTGGGAAAGCATGGCTATGTGAAATTCAATCGAAACGTCAGCTCTACTCATATCATTATGGAATAATTCTACTACCAGTCCTTCATCACCTTAAACAAAATATGGTAAATACATCCCATATTACTGATTTACTGGTAGTCTCGAAACTCTACTTTAATACTAAAAAGAGTAGCTTATTGTCTTTTTTAGCTCCCCAGTGAATTTACTCGCCTTTTCAAATCTATTCATTCAATCAAGGAAGTCATACACACACTCTTTGCCATTCTGTCAGATAGCAAAGCAATTATTCCAATATCTGATCAATAATTTCGGAACTTAAAGTTAATCTTGAAAAAACCGGACTTCCAATTGAATTATGTAGTTATTAGCTAAAACTAGAGGCAAACACGATCCCATAACTAAACCTCCGGTTTGCTCACACAATTTAGCATTAATGATAAAACATGTACTATCCATAATTAAGTTCGTCAATCTCATGATTGAATCCTTGTTTATCTCATTTCCTGATATTACCTCTGGGTGTAGATCTAAGGTTAATTCGAGTTCCTGTATAGCCCCACTTGCTGGTATATTCGTTTACATCAAAACTACATATTAATTTTTATTGACAATTTTCAAATGCCTAAGATTTGTTTTAATTGACGACAAAGAAATCATGAAATTTTATGCATCACACCACCCTTATTATTAACAATGATCCTAAGTGGGACTCCCTCTGTAGATTTTTGGCAGACCATATATATTATGAGGTCTAGCATCACGTTAGAGAAGTGAATTAATTTTCATCTTCTCCAATTATTTACTATTAACGCACTGTTGCAGGCAACTCTTAAATCGCGACTTTAGTATTTCTGTGGGGTGCTTGGATATAATTCTCTACCTATCACAATAAGCTAAAGTTTTGATCATCTGTTCTATATAATCTGTCCTTTCCATAACTTTCAAAACTATTCGCTTGTGTTGTCTAC